TTATCGAGATTCTTTGTACCACATTATATGCACGCTGCTTCTGTATCATAAAGTTAGTTGCATTATGAATGCTTGTCTTTTGAGCTACTAGCATTGATGATTTTTATTTGTATTTTACTTTCTTGGAGAAAAGAACAGTGAAGCATTTGATTTTGGGGGAAAAATACCCACACAAAGAATTACATGGACTTTGCAAACAGATATGTTAATCAAAATTGTAGGGGTTGAATTTGATACCTTAAAGGAAGGCAGATTTTCAATATGCTTTTCCTTCCAAATGAATGTATTTTTTCTTACACATCATCATTGTTTACCTTACTTGACTGTAATTTTGATCCTCTTATGATGGCTGTTCACCACAACCTCCTTAAAGGTGATTTTTGTGGTGTACTTAGAAAAACCTAGTGTTCCTTACTTAAGTAGACTGAAAGTATCTATGACTGAAGCATTTATAGAGTTAAGGAGTTAGAAGCAGCCAGTGGCATAGTAGATGAAGTTTGGAGTCAGGAGGACCAGAATTAATATCTTGCCTCAAACACGTACTAGTTGTGTGACCTTGGGTAAGGCATTTAAACTCTGTCTGCCTCAGTTTCTTCAACTGTAAAATGGAGATAACAGTAGCACCTACTTCCCAGTATTATTGTTGTGGGGACCAACGGAGATAAGATTTGTAAAGTGCCTGGCACATAGACAGTTAATAAATGCTTGTTCCCTTCTTGCTGAAGCAATAATCACATCACACCAGTCAAGCAAGATTCTTCTGTAGCTTGACTTTTATTTCATCATGGCTCAAAATATTCTACCATAAAGCTTACCACCACGAAACTTTCTGTTCCCTTCTTTCTTGTTGTTTAACTTCTACAGTTTCATGCTAGTTGTATTTGTATAGTTTGTATTGCATTCAGTTATATTTGTGACATGTTGTAGGTAGAGACCTTTTTTGTCTAGTGTTACATATCAAGTTTGTAAAATTGCTAATAATTCTTGGCTTTCTATGGGAAAAAGGTTTTCTGTATTCAACAATACAGATAAGATATATATATTATTAATTAAAAAGTAATTTCCATAGAAAACCGATGATAGATAAATATACTGTTCTCTGAGGAAAAAATTGGTCAAGGAAATTTTCTAGTTGCCATTTCCAACTGTGACAATCACATCGATCAGACTGAAGGGTTGGTAATTTTGTCAGCATAATTGTGATGGTATAATCTTGGCATTAGAGGCAGAAGCATCTGAGAAAGTGAAATTAGGAGGAGCTATTGCGTCCATGTGCTCGATAACAAATCTCACATGTTCATTTCCCTGTTCCAGATTGTTGATAAATAACCTGGGGTTATTTATGCTTGACTTAACAGTGAATGAAAGGTACAGAAGGGGAAGGATATAAGAAGTAGTTTGAACATTTGGGCCTTTCTTTGTATAGAGGCTTTAAAATCTGATATTATATACCTGTATTATTGTTAAATAATTTAAGATAAGGCAGTGTAATGTTTTTAAATTTTAAAAAATTATTTTAAAATAACTGTGTGTGGCAATAAGTGTGTGTATAGATTTTTCTAATGAATCTTGCCTTAGGCTACCAAAAGTTTGAACATATATATATAGCCCTTTGAAACAGAGATCCTTTCCTCAAGTAGTTTTTAAAAAAAAAAAGATTTAGGAATGTTAGTAGAAGAGGGGCAAAAGAGCATTTGCCAACCACGATCATCCAATTTTTTGGACCTTTAAGACCTCATGGTGACATGAAAGAAATCATTTGCTTAATTTGGGGTTAGCCTAGGCAGAATGCTCAGAGAGCCTGTGAAGGTAGTCAGAAGCATCACATAGTCAAAAAATAATCAAGTAGCATTTATTAATCACTCACTGTGTACCAGGCACTGAGCTAAGCATTGAGGATACAGAGAAAAGCAAAAAGCAGTCTCTATTCTCAAGGGGCTCACAGCCTAATGAGGGAGAGATAACATATAAACAACTGTGTAAGCAAAAGACATATATAGGATAAATTTTAAACAGCCTTGTATGGAAAACACCAAGTTTAGGAAAAACTATGAAAGGCTTCTTGCAGAAGATAGGACTTCAGCTGAAAAAAGAGATGAGGAGTGTAAGTGCCAATGTTACTACATCATAGAATAGGTGTAAGAAAACTGGAAACATACACAAGGGATTTAAAAGCCAGACAGAATTTTATTGATCCTAATTCGTTGGAATTTATTCTAAGTTCCTGACTCAGGAAACCTAAATTTCACTTAGCACATTATGGCAAAACTCAGTTAGGAAAAAGTTTTTATTTCATTGTCCAGCAAGTTGATCCTTTAGGGCAGGGGTGGGAACCTGTGGGCCTTGAGGCCACATGTGGCCTTCTGGGTCTTTGGGTGCAACCTTTTGACTGAGTCCAAATTTTACAGGGAATTTGTTCTGTGAATTTTGGATTCAGTCAAAGGGCCTCACCTGAGGACCTAGAGGACCACATGTGGCCTTGAGGCTGCAGGTTCCCCACCCCTGCTTTAGGGCATCTCTCAATATAGAACAGAGTGTAATACTTTATAATTGCATAGTTATTATCAAATTGTCTTCCTGCTTTTAAGCAGCTAGTGAATTATGTGAGTTTCTGTTTCTAGCAGGTCTCCTATCCTGATGTGTCTGAAAATCAGAATTTAAATGGAGACATCTTAGCGATTACTGCTTCCCCAAGGTCATGATGATTTATTGCTGGATCATTATTAAAGGATGATAATTTTATGTAATCATTTGTTGACCACACTGACCAAAGGGATAACTAAAGGGAGGAGGGCAGGTTAAAAGGAAATACTGTAGGCTAGTAAAATATTCATAGTAGACCTTTTTTTCTTTTATTAATATTGAATACAAATGGGAAGGAGAGATTTTAAAAATAAAAATATACCTATATCATATTGTTTTTATTAACTACAACCAGAAGTTAAGGAACTTGGTGATCAATATAATCAAATACTTTTTCCAAATAAATATTAAAATGGAATACTCAAGAAATGGAAAGGTGATCATATTTGAAAGAATGGATCATCATATTTAATAATAGCAATGGCACATATATAGTTCTGCCCACCTGAGAAAATAAATCTTGCCTATACCCCAGTCCCCAAGGGATTCTCGGCTTTTATGTTCAATTCTAGTTCAATCCTGGGAGCCTGACCCCATACAGATCCCTTCCTTCCTTTGACTACCCTTGCATCATAGTAAAATTCAAGAGGAATTTCTAAAACAAAGCTAAGGTATGACCTATGCCTAGCGTTTTCACCTTAATGTGCAGTAGTAAGGCTATCAGGTATAGGACAGCTTTATATTTCCTCCACCACAGAAAAGGCATAAGATTTGATGTTCTCACCAGTGTACAGAAATAAACTCTCAACCAATTAATTTCCTTGGACTCCCCTCAGAAAGCAAAGACCATTTGGGGTACTGAGCAAATATTTTCCATTCACCTCAGATTTGTACCATTTGAATAATAGCAATATTATGAAGGATTGGCAAGGGCCAGTTTTTTTTCTGCCTGACCATAGCATGGCTTTGGTCCTCCATCAGCAGTATGGTCTTTTTTTTCCAAATCTCAAACTATTGAGGAACTGTTCTACCTGGAGTCCATGCCCTACCTGCAGATTCTCAAATTGAGGAACTCTTCAACTCAGGATTATCCATGAAGTAACTTCCAAGGTTGGAAGCATTCATTCGCAGGATTCTTAATGTCTGACCTATCCTCTAAAAATGAAACACAAAAGCAGAAGACATCCAGAGACTCTAATCTCATTTTCATCTGGGCAAATGTAGGCTACCCTCCATGTGCCCTCTTACAAGTGGCCATTTCCTCCTAGAGAAAAGATAGCAAAAAGGAAAAATCCCTTTCTTCCCTACCGTCACCACCGCCACTACCACCACTGTTTGTTGCAATCCAGTTTAAAAGTTCAAGGGAAAGAAAGCAATGGGTAAAAGGGGTGAAACATCTCACAGGTCACTTTTCTAGACCACATCGGGGGCAGTTCCACTGACCAAAGTTAGTCCATCCTGAGCCTCAGTCAACCAATCACCTATAGGCAATGCCTAGTCACTGGGACCAACCACGAGAGCTCCTTTTGTCCTCCCAGTAACTCACATCCACCTCCCTGAGAAATGTCCCCTCACCCAAAAATCTCGTTAAGCCAATCAAGGGACTCATCAAATTGCTCAAGATTTCTCCTGATCAACCCACTACATAAAGCCACATGTTAAAATTCTTGGTTAGAAGATGTGTTTTGTAGTCAGTGTCTAGAACAATTGCCCCTGCTGCAACTCCCCCCACCCCCACCCCAATTACACTACTGTTTGGGAGTCTATAATTGTGGAGAAATACTATAGCCAGTTCTCCCCTCCATTGTACACCAAAGTGATTTAAGATTGATGGAAAACTTCTCAAACTGATATGCCTAACTGAACGTTTTAACCAGATTGTCCTCATTTTAGGACTGTAGTCAATCTATATGTCTGTGACACAGTGCTTTGTATGAGTTCTTAAAATGACTCCTTCCATGGGAGTAAGTAGCCTCATGTGAGAAATTACACATACATGATATATATCAAAAAGTACGGTTTAATGTAATACTGTAATTTTGGGGCATTTGTTGGGATGTTTAGTTTGTTAGTATGTTAAGATCTTAGCTTAGGGAGCTTTATGTTAAGTTGTCTGCCTTTGTCCATGTAATTCAACATTTGACCATTAGTGCCAACTCAGTAACTTCAAGCCACTGTTCTTGCTACAGAATTCTTATGTTTCAGATTTAAAAAGAAAAAAAAAGCTCTCCCACCTGAGATTTAGTTTTGCTTGTTTCAGGGTTATTTTGTGTGGGAGGGAAGGTGTTGTTTAATTTGCACTCCTTGCTCATTCTAATAGGAAGGAAAATTCTGTTGTCAAGTATACTGAAAAACATATCTGTGCAATAAATCTTTTCCCTCAGGCTAAAGTATTTCTTTTTCTATCTCTCCTTTAGAACCTCAGGCCTCAAGAAAGCCGGACAATGTTCAGTGGCTCTGTCAGTATTCCATCCATCACCAAATCACGCCCTGAACCAGGACGTTCTATGAGTGCTAGCAGTGGGCTAGTAGCAAGTAAGTATTAAGGGTCTATAAAAGTATTCATCATAGCCCTGGGCTGCCTGCATTTAAATTTAGAAGTGCTGTCATTTCATTTATTCATCCCAGTTCTTGCTTTACACATGGCAGAATGTTGATACACTTATTTCACAGAGAAAAGCTTTCATCTAACCCCTTTCTCTAAAGGTTCAGTGCTTCTAGTTTACACACTACTTCAGTAAACCACATATTATCTATTGGATAGCCTATCAAGAATTGTGCTTGTTCAGAAAATAAAGCCACTATTACCTAAAGCAGTACTCAACAATTATGGTTTATATTGTGCTCTTTCTTAGTTGCACAGTGTCTGAACTTATCAGAAGCAGGCATTATCTACTCTAAGGCTACACAAGGATGGCAAGGATTCTACTTAGCCTGAAGAAGTATAGGGGTACAGAAGATCAGGGAGAAGAAGTAGAGAAGTGAACTGATTGAATAGTTTAAACTTAACAGCATTCAAGTGATTATGATCTTGTACCTGAATCACAAATGTTATGAATACTATACCTCTTAGTTATAGATCTTTACATATATTATTCTTATACATTTATCAGTAACTATTCATTGTAGACTCCAGGCTCATTTCTTTTTTGGCAGTGTTCATTAAACTGGCATAGTAGACATAGTACACTTGAATTTCAGCAAGACATTTGGCAGTCTTTCACGATATCCTTGTATATAAAGTAGTTGAAGAGATACAGGCTTGATGGTAGTACCATTATGTAGTTGAACAAACAAACGTAAAGACTGGTGATAAATTGATATCCACCTGGAAAGAGGTCTCTGGTATAGTCCCAGAGGACTCTGTCCTTAGTCTTTTTTGTTTATCATGTTTATCAGTGATGTGGAAGAAGACTATACTAATAATATGATTGTCAGATTTGCAACAGAAGACCTCAACAGTTTTTAAAATAAAAGGGTGAATCAGATAGGGTGAAATTTAATAGGAATATGAAGAGTCCTACATTGAGGCTCAAAAAATCAGCTTCACAAGTACCAAATTGGGAAGACTTGGCTAAATTATAGTACTTGTTATTTTAATAGCATTACAGCAAGAAGGCAAGATAAATTGAAACAAATAACTCTGAATACCAAATTTGCTGGAAATGTTCTGATGCGTGTGCCACTGACTACTAAAGTGGGCAAACCATGAGTATGTATGAAATGTCCAGGAGATATGAATGATTTTATTATGTTCTGGAACTACATAATAACAAAATTGGAAGCAGATCTTACAAGGCATAGACAAGGCCTTCACACATCCTCAGAGCCTAATTATGCAACAATGTTAGAAGATAAATACAGAGCAATCTTTTTTTAAAATTAATTTATTTATTTTTAGTTTTCAACATTAACTTCCATAAGATTTTGAGTTCCAGATTTTCTCCCCTTCTCTCCCCTCTCCTGGCCCCAAGACGCGTGCAGTTTGACACAGGCTCTACATATACATTCATATTAAACCTATCTTCACATTAATCATGTTGTAAAGAAGAATTAGAACCAATGGAAGAAACCACGAGAAAGAAGAAACAACAACACAAAAAAAAGAGCGAGCAAATAATAATGCTTTGATCTACATTCAGACTCCATAGTTCTTTTTCTGGATGTGGACAGCATTTTCCATCATGAGTCTTTTGGAGTTGTCTTAGATCCATGCATTGCTAAGAAGAGATAAGTCAATCAAAGTTAATCATCGCACAGTGTGGCTGTTTACTGTGTACAATGTTCTCCTAGTTCTGCTCTCTTCACTCAGCATCAGTTCACATAAGTCTTTCCAGGTTTTTCTGAAGTCTGCCTGCTCATCATTTCTTATAGCACCATTACATTCATATACCACAACTTGTTCAGCCATTCCTCAACTGATGGGCATCCCCTCAATTTCCAATTCTTGGCCACCCCAAAAAGAGCTGCTGTAAATATTTTTGTACATGTGGGTCTTTTTCCCATTTGTATGATCACTTTGGGATACAGACCTAGTAGTGAAATTACTGGGTCAAAGGGTATGCACATTTTTATAGACCTTTGTACATAGTTCCAAATTGCTCTCCAAAATGGTTAGATCAATTCACAACTCTACCAACAATGCATTAGTGTTCCAATTTTCCCACATCTTCTCCAGCATTTATCATTTTCCTGTTTTGTCATGTTAGCTAGTAGGTGTGATATGGTACCTCAGAGTTGTTTTGATTTGCATTTCTCTGATCAATAGTGATTTAGAGCAGTTTTTCATATGACTATAGATAGCTTTAATTTCTTCATCTGAAAACTGCCTAATACGGGGCAATCTTAAGAAATAACTCCATTCTGCAGCCAAGATTAGAAAACAATAGAAGAAATTGAGGAGTTGCTTAAACCTGAAAATGGGAAAGATGAAGAGCCACACATCATTGAACTAATAAAAAATAGTAATTTCCAAAAGCTGGTGTCTGCCTGCTAGAATCATCATCATGAAAGAATGCATTATCCCACAATATTTTACAGAGTAGAAAACTATTTCACAACCCTCATGCAACAATATGTGCTGTGGTCATTACCATAGTAAGAAGCATAGGAGAAAAAGTAGAGCTATCTAGGAACATACTCTTAAAAACAAGTATTAAATGCCACCATGGCAGAAGTGAGTTGAGAATACTTTTGAAGACCTGTGGAAAGACATTGGAAAATTATATCAATATCTAGTCAGTATATATGTGTATATATATATATATATATATATATATATATATATATATATATATATATAGCAGGAATTTTAAACACTATATTGCCCAGTTAAAGGCAGCAATAACAAAATGCAAATTGGAATCCAAAAAAATGAAAATGTCAGAAATTGTTGATAATGTTAATCAAAAATTGAAAGTCAAAGTGAACATTTTAAGGGAATGCAAGGAGTCATGGCAGCTTCAAAAAATAAATAATTCAGTATCAATCAAATATTGTACTAGAGCAGCTTAAGAAGCAAAGAAATTATAGGAGAGAGAGAAAACCCTTGAAGAAGGAAGATAATGGAGCATATCTAGATATCTATAAGGTTGAAAGAAGTCCAGCACGACAAAAAACATAGATTGTATCAAATATGAAATGGAAAACTTGTATGCCATTAATATAATGAATGATGACAGTTACATCAAGGGATGTAGCTCAAACTCTAGATTTTCAGCAGACCCAGAAAGTGAGAGGTCCAAATAAGATCCATAATTATTGATTCAGGTGCTTAAGATAGGGATATATTAATTATTAGAAAAACACTTGTCCTTGTGCAAACTTGACCCCATCATTCTTAATGGAAACCATCATATATTTATTACCATAATTCCAGTGATCTCTCCAAGTGTGGGCCAACTATGTGTTTATTTACTTTATACAAAACAGTCACAGCTTGTCTCACTCAAAAAATGTATGAGCATATATACAAAAATAATAGGTGAGAAGCAAAAAGTTTTCAGAAAAGCCATGGGGATATAAAGAGCAATACATTATCAACTTTGATTATTGAACAAGGCACTCCAAACACACCATGACATTTATATCATCTTAAATGATTATTGCAAGCTTTTGACTGTTACTACACACTCATAGTTGGTCATGTATTTGCATTATATAAAATAAACCAGTCATATAGTAAAATATTTGATGTACTGATGGACAGTTGTTCTCTCTTTCAAAAATATCACCAACTCAGTAATATAAAGAACAATTTGCGTAAAAAATAACTTGTTCCAGGGAGACAGATTAAAGTGACTGTGGTTCTGCTCAGACTTAAATCCCCATTATCATTACTCTTGAGTAAAATTGATGTGGCTTTTAAATCAAAGGAGTAATTGTACTAAAACATCTGTGACTTTGATATGCATGGATGATATCAAGTCATGTGGCCCCACTGAAAAATACATTAAATAGCCATTTCATCTCATGAGTATTTTCTCCAAGAATATCAAAATGCCATTTTTGTCATTTAGGCATATTGTATAATGGGTAGAACTCTGGACCTGGAGTCACAAAGATCTAAGTTCATATCCAGCCTTAGATTCTTACCAGCTTATATGATGCTGGGCAAGTCAAAACCTCTATATGCCTCACTTTCCTCATTTGTAAAATGGAAATAATAAGAGATGTTATGAGAATAAAATGAAATAATATAAGAACTTTGTACAGTTTAAAGTGCTATATAAATACCAGCTATTATTGTTTTGATAAATGTGAAATTCTTAATGTGTGCCAAGTAACAACAGAGAATGACCACTTTGAGCCCAAATACAAAGGTTAAATTTAACCAGTGGATGAAGGTGATGATTAGAAATATGTTGGTCCTTTCCAAGAAAGACAGATCTAACATAAGGATACCAAAGAGAAAGCTGAAACAGAGTATGTTATGAAACAAGCTGGCATCCTAAAGTTAAGGCTTAATGGGGAAAGTGCATTTAGAACAATTAACAGTTATGTACACCAGTTCTAATGTATACTTTTGGCACAGTTGAATGGATGAGAACAGATCTAGAAAGTGACCAAATGAAAACCTGTGCAAAATTAAGGAAACATGAAAAATGAGGAAAAGAGGCTGAGAGAGGCATTTTCTTCCTCTTATCACCCACTCCAATCATTTCCTTCTCTAGGTTTTGACTGAAACACTCTTTGGAGCTTGCCTGTAGTTCAAATTCCAATTCCAACTAGTTCCATGATTTTATAGAAGCAACAGAGGGCAAGACTAAGTCTCTCATCCAATCTAAACAGATCTCCTGTAGCACTTCCAAGCAACCCAAGCTTTGTCACACCTAGTGATCAATGTGTGTTCTCACCTGGTAAATATGTTGGGACCCAGTGAAGTGGCATAGTCTTTATCCCATACTTACACAAAGAAAAACACATATTTACGAAGGGACTGTTAGAAAATTCAAATCAGTATTCAGGTTAAGTAAAAATAAGGTGAAAGAGCTCCAAGCAGTCCAGATAACAAAAATGCCCATTTCAAGAGGTGAAAATGAGTAAGTAAATTAGAAGGTAAGCTCTACAAGCACTCAAACACCTTTTCTTGGCTAGCGTTTTAATTGAATGATTCATAGATAAATTAGAATTTAATTTCATGACCCATAGTCATAGAATGGAAGCTAAATGAAGTTGAACATTCTTTTGGGGGGAGGAGAGGAAAGGAAATATTTGGTGATTTTATAAATGTTACCATTGATTTTAAGTAAATACTAATAATACATAGGAATTATATATAGTACCTTCCAACCAAGGAAGCTGAAAACATTTGATGAAGTAGTACTTCATTGGAACAGTTTATTATTACCTGAACCTCTAGCTGGAAGCACTGTTATTTTTTGGTTATTTTAATTTTATTTTTTTGGTTAACAAAAATCTCATTTCTCTCTTCTGTTTCCTCACCCCTGTTAAAAACAACAACAACAACAACAATCCTTGTAACAAATACACGAAAAGCAAAATGAAGATACACGTTGGCTGTGCCCAAAAAAGATCTCTCTCATTCTGTACTCTAAGTCCATGGAATCATGATTGGTCGTTGTGTTGAGCAGAGTTCCTAAGTCTTTTTAAGTTGTTTGGTTTTATTTACACAGTGGTTGGTGGTGGTGGTGGTTATATATATTGTACTTTTGGTTCTGTTCACTTCACTCTGCATCTTTTCATGTTTTTCTAAAGCCATTCCTTGGCATTTCTTGTAGCATAATAGTATTCCATCACATTCATGTACCATATTTGTTCAGTCCTTCCCCAGTTGATGGGCATCCCCTTAGTTTTCAGTTCATTGCCACCACAAAAAGAAGTTCTGTTATTTTTAAGGAGACCAAATACTTGACCTTTCAATACAAATACTGGTAATTACCTTCTTTTGTGAGTAGTGTTAGAGGAAATGTGAAGCTTGCAATTCCTGAAAGAGCATCAGTCAACTCAGATTTGTCACCTATCTAAAAATATGAGTTGTTCTTTCACTCTCATCCTCCCTCAGGATTGGCTCCTACTTTTCTCTGTAACCTGAACATTAAGGGAAAAAACCTCAGTCCCTAGTGTTGGACTCTTTCCTGACTCCTTGCTTAGAGGCTAGTTTTCCATTTTAGGGAGGTCTGATCTTTGAAATTTTTGGCTATGATTACAAAGCTACCACCTCTCAGTCCTTGAGGAGTCCCAATAAAAATAATTTTATAAATCATGGAGTTTTTTTTTTTTTCTGTTCAGTTTTATGGCTCCCCTGTTCTTTCTGTTACTCAGCTCTTTTTATATTAAATTGTAATCTGAATCTAGTATTTTAAAATTTAGATTAAATAAAAGTAGAATTGTGGGTAAAGTCTAAAAGATAAGAGGTATCACATATAATCACAGGCTCTCAGAATTAAAAGTAACTTGAGAGGCCATCAGGTCCAACCCATACTTAAAACAAGTATGCCCTTCATCATATTCCTAATTATCATTTATCCAGCCTTTACTTGAAAGACCTTAAGTGAAGATAGGGACCTAATATCTAATGAAGCAGTTTTTAAACTTTGGAAAAACACTAAAGGTTAGTAACTTTTTACTTACAATGAGGCTAAATCTATCTCTCTTTAATTTTCGCCAAGTACTCCTTCTTCCATTGTTTAGCTAAACTGAACAAGACTAACCCTTCTTTCATGGAGTGAAGGTCCTTAAAATACTTGAGATCATCCACCTCCCCTCATTCCTATCTTCTCTCCTCCAAACTAAATATTCTTTATTTTTTGAGACATTGCTTGTGCAGTATGATTTCTAATCCAGTACTATCTTGAACTTATAGTCCACTAAAAGCTCCAGATTGTTAAATTTTTTTCTTTTTATTAATTTTAATTAATATTATTTTTTAAAGTTTTTGTGTATTAATTTTATTTTAATTTTTAAAAATTTTTCCTGCATGTAGTTTGTAGTTTAGCCGTGCCTTTATGACTTTATCCTTGTGCAATTGATTTTTTTTAAATGTAGGAATTGACTTTGATTTATTCATTCAACAAATATATGAATATTTATTAAGCACTTTACTGTATGCTGAGCACTGTTGTTTGTGCTGGAAGCAATATCAAATTTAAGTTAGACTTATTCTTGCCCTCATGGAGCTTAATAGTTTATTTATCTTCACCAAATAGTACATTTATCTTCATTAAATTTCAACTTATTAAATTTGGCCCATAGTTCCAACCTGTCATTTTTGGGGAATGGAGGGGTAGGGTTAACCTATTTGGTCATCTGTTTTTTTAACTATCCCTTCCAACTGGCAATAGTTGCTTGCAACGCTAGCTTTTGCACATCCCCGTGCTCTCAAAAAAAAACTGACAAGATCAAAGCACTGATAAAGAGATTTTGAAAGTATTCATTCCATTTTTCTTCCTGCCTATGAAATAGAAATGAGTTCATGTGTTTCTTATTACATAAGGTACATAGAAGCTATGACTATGTTCATTCATTTAATGACATGGACTTCTAGAAATTAAGATTGTACTAATTTTTTTCTTTCACACAAGTAATACAAGGAACTTGCACAATATTTTAGGGTCATCTTCACAAAATGGTAGTGCGTTAAGGAGAGAATTCTCAGGAGGAAGCTATGGAACAAAACGGCAACCTATGACCTCTCCTTCAGATGGTTCATTGTCCTCTGGAGGTATGGACCAAGGAAGTGATGTGCCAGCAAGGGACTATGATCGAGAGGTGAGTGTGACAGAAGTGAAAGGCTGTGGATGGAACCACAAAAAGTGGCATCTGTTATTAGGAAATCAGAAATGTACCTTAGAATTAAGTATCCCATCTGATAAAGCTTGAAGTAGAGAAGGACTGTATGGATAGAGAAGTAGAAAAACTGAGTTTACTTAAATGATTCCATCTTGAGATCTGCCTGTAGCAGTTTCAGTGAATCACTAGTCATTCTTATCCTGTGGGCAATGAGACCAAGTAACTTGTGTTTGCAGACTAGAATTTTATAGGATTCTATACCTTGAAAAGGTACTTTTCAGCTGAGTTATTAGTCTGCTTTATATGGAAAGAGCATACATTTCTAAGTGCTTCCATAAATAGTTCCCTGTATTTAAGCATTTAGCATGTACTCTTTTTCATTCTCATGTCACACACACACACACACACACAAACAACTATGCCTTGAGAGATTAATAACACTGAAAAAGTAACAATTAGTTTATTATGTGGGGGGTGGGGGTGCGGAAGGCAAGGATTACCTATGGTGGCTTGTGCTTTTCCCCACAGCTGTGGTGTAATGGAAAGAGCATTGAATTTGGAGTCAGAAAAACTTAGTTTTCCTGGCATTGCCTCATAAGACTTTGTGACTTCTCAGTGTCTCAGTTTCCTTATATGTAAAATGGAGATAATGTCTCTGCTTTCTCACAGTGTTATTGTGAGGATCAGATGAGATAATGTAAAGCACTTTGTAAACCGTAATGCTCTATATAAATGTCAGCTATAATTATTGCTCATCAATAATGTCCTAATTTTTGGGGCTGCAGGACTCTGATTCTCCAAGGCATTCTACAGCTTCCAACAGCTCCAACCTCAGCAGCCCTCCCAGCCCCATTTCTCCTCACAAGACCAAGAGCCTCTCTCTGGAGAGCACTGACCACGTGAGTTGGGACACATGAACTGCTTCGGCATTCAGATCAGACATCACAACGGCTTTTTATCCCACGGCTCCCCTTCACTCACCCTGTTTTCTCGCTTTCATCTCTTCCCCTCACTTCTGCCTGAAAATTATCTGGGGGCTGGTATCAGAGGGGTGGTGGGAGTAGGAAATAAACTACCTTCTGATATAATTCAAAGGTGAATTTTACTCCCAGATTTAACAACAGCAGCAAAAAAGGGCAAACTTTTGTCAAATAGCTGCCACAGATTTCTATTTGTATTCATTTCGTTTCATACAGTTACAGCTGCTTTCATTATCTTTCACTCCCTCCAAAAAATTTAGTATAAATAGACCAAGATAACTAAAAATGAGTAAGATTTAAATGAGCGCTAGAGTCTCATACTGTAAGATAGCACAGTGAACCCATGACTTTGTGGGGAGGATCAGTATATCAAAGAGCATCATAAAGCTTTCATTCAGCCACCACAATTGAATGTTAATCTGATTGTTACCAGTGAATCCTTATTAATTAAAACAATACATATTTTACTACAATACAGAGTTTAAATACACAGATTTAAGAGTTAAATACTGATTGTATATATTAAGAGAGAAGCATCATGTATTCAGTAAAAGATGGATGCATATTTAAGAGAAAGAAATCCTTTAATTTAAAAGAATTGTGTTGTTTCCATATGTTTTCATGCTAAATAATTTTAAATGTTGAAAAGACCGGTTAATATTTGTTCAGAGAGAGAGGCAGAGAAAGCACCATTCCCTTTGGAAGATGCTGTTGAGCACAGATTATCAGAAGAGCAGTTTAATTTCTCTTGTCATCAGAAACATCTTTCCTGTTTTCCATAGTAGAATTAAAGCCATGATCTTCATTTTTAAAGATTACTCTTCTTATCTCTTACAAATGAATAAGAGAGAAGATTTCTTGCCACCCTCACAGCTCCTCCATCCCAAAGCCAATGGGCAGAGTTATATTTTCCAAAGGGGTGGGTCTCCCTAAAGATCACAGAAGTGCTTTTTTCCCCCTGGGATCCACTATACCTCCCCAGGCTATAATAACATCATTGCAGTTTAGAGCAGGAGACGATTTCTCTAGAAGGAACTCATTTTACTTCAAAAGGGAATGATCTTCCTCTAATTGGCCTGAAAACAGTTTACCAAATACCTAAAACCTCAGTCTGCCAAATGCATGTATTTTTAGCAGCCTCGACCAAATATTTTCTTAGTTTCACCTGAGGATAAAAGATTTGACACAAAGGGTGTTTATGTTTTAGTTAGTCAACCGGAATTGTCAGTTCTACCAAGATTCCTTCCAAGATTTCAAGTGGATTTCCTGCTTGGTTGGGTTGGTTGTGTTGTTGGTTGCATTTTGCTCCTCCACTGTTCAGGGACATCACAGGAAAGTCAACTGAGAACAAACAAAACTCCATTTTTCTCACAGTCCAGGTTAATCTGAAGTTCTTGTACCTTTGTCATGAGATGGAGGTCTGAAGCCATTTCTCCCATCAGATAACACCAGTAGAGAAGGGAGGGAGGGAAAGAAAGAGAAATCAGCCTCTTCGATTCTCTTCATGTGAGCTTCACTAAAAATAGAAATCAACACAATATGATATGTTCCCAGGGACACTCATTAATGTTCCACTACATTAAAAGAATTTTTTTCCCTGTGTCATAAATTTAGATCTCAGCATTTGTGCTGTATCATTTGACCACTGACCACCGTGCATTCATTCTACATTCCTACGGTAACAGCACTGTCAATTTTTATTAGTCTGTCCACTCTGAGAAAAAACTTACAGAGCTTTTTAGAGGAGAGGGATTGGGCTGGGGTTATTTTATAGACATACAAATAGGAGAATAAAAAAAATCACAGTTAATGCCATTAGACATGCTGAAGTCTATGCCTATTCTAAAATTATTGTATTTTATTTTGTCATGGGCACACTTGTTCCAAAGTACTAGTTACCTCCAAGTTATTTTGCTTTTGGAAAAATAGAAAGTTTTTGCATTTTAAGAGTCATTTAACACAGTTTGACTTGTTCAGATATAAGTATATAAGTTGCTACCTTAATGTTTCATTGTCATTTGAACATAACATTTTCCTAAATATGGCATTTAGCATTAGAAATGATAGAATACCAGCAAATGTGTGTCCTTGCTCAACTCTGCTCTTCCTCATCACTAGTGTGTTATGAGGAAGACAAAGCAGGCAAAAGGACATACGCCCCCAGGGAGCACCTTATTTTCCATCTTGTCTGTTATTCTGCTCAAGCCCTTCTTAGGGATTTCTCTTTCCTAAGGAAGTATCATGTCATGCCAGTGAACCCTTTGGTACTGGGCCATCTTCTGGCCCCAGACTGCATATAGACAGGACCATTGCAAGGCCAGAAAGTGAGCCTACTGAAGGATTGGGCTCCATTTCAAAGTGATCACTCTCTCAGACCCTCCCAGAAGAGGAGAAATGAACAGGATGAACCCCAGAGCCTGTACAGAGAGCTCCAGCTCATACCATGTCCCGCTTGACCCATGCCAGGGCTATCAGTGGAGTAGCCTCCCAGTTACACTTTTTAATGAAGAGTTGGTTGTAATAGGGTAATTTCAATAGGAAATTTATTGCAGTATCTCCTTCCCACCCCCCAAAAAAGGTCATTTTTGTTAAGGAGGGGAGACACTTTGCCTTAGTTGATAAATGGGTGGTATTTATACTGGGTCCATATTTTATTATCACACTACCCTCAAATGCATAGCATAATACATTCAGGATCTTCTGAGCAGGTGCCCAAAAATCCACTGAAGACTCTGAAAAAAAGGATCCAAAGAAAGAAAAAGAAACTTGTTGACCATTAGAGGAGTCCAGTGGCCCATGATTGAAAAGATGCTTCCCATCTCTTCTTAGTACTGCACATAGAATCTCTTATTTATCATGGGTAATTTGGGTACGTGTGGAAGGAATACTTTCTCTTCTTGATAGAAAGGAAAGCTATGTATTAAAGGCATTTTGCCCAGCATCTGTCTCTGAGGGTTGGGAGCTGTGGAGCTTTGGTTCTGGTGCTGGGGGCAACTGCAAAATTTAAGCTACGAACCTGCCTGGTGTGTTGTCTGCCCTTGAATCTTGAGTAATTTCATCATATGCTTTTAATGTACATAGTACATGTACAATTTTTGCCAAAACTGAAAACCTTAGAGGTTGCTAAAGTACGTTGCATTTGTCTGATTATTTAAAAATCCAGCTACTTTCCTTTGGAACATAGCTTTAGAGTCATAAATTGTAACTGCTGTTATTTGTCCATTTGGCTTCCCAAGAAATTCCCAGTTCCTGCACTTAAGCAATAAATGGAGTATGAAATCTCTGTTCTTATCACACACATCCCCAAAGCCCTTGAATCTAAAACAGTTTGTAACAAGTTGTCCTCATTCTTCAGTGGCCTTTCAGCCCTTCTCTGCCTTTATTATGGTCAGAAATGTATCTTATCACTTAATGACTGCATATTACTGAATTATGTATCTGAGAAAGAGATTTTGAGCCTGATGGAACCATGACTGATTGAATTTATATTGAACTCTCAGGTATTGCTTATGCATTGATGGGGGGCAATGAGAACAACCTTCCCTGACTCCAGCAGGAAAAGCACGTAAAGCTGTAGCTGAGCTGGATTCAGTGGCTTTGGAGTCATCAGAAACACTCTGGTCTTGAAGCCAGGGTGTGTTTGGATAAGATACTTTATGTCAGTTCTCCAGATGGGGAAGCAAGATGTTGAGAAATCAGGTCAGCATGAATTTTTATGTTTAGGAACTTCTGATAGGCCAGACTTTATAAGTGACAATGGTGGCCAAAAACATGAGAGATAATCAGGCATTTTTCTCACTCTTTTCTGTTCCTCCTCTCCTTCTGTCTCCCATTTCATTCTTTTCTGAACTATATAAAGAAGTGTTTGACATTTCATTTCACCCACAACATTCCCTGTTGTGACCTTAGTGACTTAATCCAGGCCAAAGTTCTTAGAATAATCCAGCTTGATGAGATGATGGATGGGCGGTGGAATGTGCTTATAACAGTTCAGCGGGCCCAAGACTCCTAAACAACATAGCTGCCATAGATGTTTTGTTTTCCCTTTCTCTGGCATTTCCATCAGGGAATGTGTGATTCTTCTCTTCCTTTCCATCCACATTTGAAAATATGAAACAAAAATAAACCTTCTGTTACATGTAAGAAATAGCCTCAGTTGTGGGGAAGAATTTGATAAAGACACAAACCATTCTTGGTATTTCAGTGGGGAAAAAAATGACCTGCCTTTTTTTATGTCTGACAGTTTCATATCATTTATTTTTAAAAAATATATTTTTAGGGTTTTTTTCATTGTAATATTATTGTACAGTTTTGCATGACCTAGATGTAATCACTTTTTTGTTTAGAGTATAAAAGCTGACAAGTCTGTGTGGAGGGGGAAAAGATACTGCTTTGGCCTCTTATCATTTTTTATTTTATTTTGTTTGGATTGATGCCCTTGATGTTGTAGGGGACTTTGTAAGAGATTCTATGCTACCAAACAATGATGTGGATTCTTTTGCACAGAAATATTTAAGGTGGGACAGTCCGAAATGTAATGAATGACTTCCTCACCAATACTTTATGTTGGTGACACACTTAATATTAACCTGACTTTGATGTATTGCAATAAAACAGGGAACTGTTAGAAATGTGGGTGTTTTGTCTTTTTTCCCTCATTTAAAAAAGATGAGTAATGGAGAAAGGAAAAGGGACAGATCTTTCCATCTTTGTTTCATCATATTATCATCTTTTTACCTGGTGCTGCAGTGGTTAGAGTGCTGGGCCTGGAGTCAGAAAGACCTGAGTTCAAATCTAGCCTCAAATACCAACTGTGTGACCTTAGACAAGTCATTTCACCACTGTTTGCCTCAGTTTCTTCATCTAAAGTGGGGATAATAACAGCACCTACCTCCCAAGGGTGTTGTGAGTACTGAATGAGATAATAATTGTAAAGCACTTAGTATAGTGCCTAGCACATAGTAGACGCTATATAAATGCTAGCTGTTATTCTTATCCTGTTCTGTTATAAATTAAATCATTGTTTCATATTTTCATGCTGTTTTTTAAAATAGATATCAGGATACAGTCTTATCTTTCCTGCCACACAATATTGTATAAGCCTAACCTAGATAGAGAACCAAAAAAATAGTGTGTGGCCAATTACGGAAAGAAGTTCATGATTCAAATGTAAGAAGCAGTCCAGGGTGGTCTGTAACAGTATTTGTTTTTTCCACAAATGACAAAAAATCATTAGTTTACTTTATAATATGTTGAACCTTTTGAACATGAAGCACTATCTACCTGGGGCAATGTCCCTGAAGATTGCCCTGATCTAGGCAGTTGCACCCAATGTTTTTAAAGTCATAAAGACAGGAGACTTTCTTCCTTTTTATTTTCCTCTTCTTTATCTTAATTTACTGCTAACTCAGTGGTTTCTTTAATGATTTGGGGGGAAAAGGGATGTGGAGAGATCCTTGGGCTCCAGCTGAAGCATTCTCAGCAAGGCTCCAGGCCCTTACCTGCCATTTACAAACTGGTCATCATCACCAGTGGCAAGCCCAGCACTACTAAGAGCAGTGTTGGCATCTAATGTAAAGCTACCATAGCTTGTAAGGAACTCCAGAAAGTTGGTAATGGTCAACATCAGAGGGTAGTGGGTTATGGTATAGCTAGCATAAGATTGACTGCATCTAATTCACTCCAGAAAAGCACTCCTAAGTATAAATAGGAACCTTCATCTTTCTTCAGCCCTGGGGACACATTCCACAGTGATCCTGAATCTTGGAATATTTTCTTTTAAGGAAACTGAACAGTTTTACACGTAATGTCTCTTATGTTTCCCACAGTCCAATTAATTAAGCAGGCGGCAGTCTACATATGCAGGTTCAAAACTCATTACTTATCCAGGAAATAAACATCAGTGTTTAGAAATGCTGCTTTTGAGGTAAGAGTGTGTTGAACAAAGATGGTTTATAAGTAGGTTTCACTTATTCTGACCCTCATAAGCCTTCTCTATCTTCTTTGAAGGTAGAGGCTACATTTTTCTGAAATTCGTATTAGTTCACAGATTTTAAACTACTTTAGGAGTTTTCCTCCTTAATATAAGAACTTATCATGACTAAGAATATGAGTGCTGTGTTTTAATCTAGTGACTAAGCAGTGTGCAAAACATTACGATGATGTTCTCTGGAAAAGTCCATCAGACTAGCTTTCTTCATTTAAGTTCCAGTTTCTAGAGGCAGGATGACAAAATGGGCAAAGCCCTGGACTTGGAGTCATGAAGACCTAGATCCACATCCTGCCCTCAGACACTTACTAGCTGTGTGACAGTGAACAAAGTCCTCTAACTTCTCTGTGCCTCAGTCTCCTCATCTGTAAAATGGAATTTGATTCAGTGGCCTCAACATTCTTTCCACCTCTAAATCTCTGATGCTGTGCTCAACATATAAACACAAATATGCAAGGCACTGGGTGAGATGCTAGGGACACAAAAATAAAAAAAAAAAAATACAAGATAGTCTCCAGCCTCCAGGAGCACTCAAATTAATGAGGGGAGGGAAGGAATAAGACAATATACAATTATGCTATGAGGCAGAATACGCTAAATATACAAGAGTTGCAATCTAGATAAAGTGCTAGAAGAAAGAGATCATCCAGAGCTTTATCCACTATGGCATATTGCCACTCAAAACTTAGAGCTGGAAAGTCAGGGAAGGCTTTCTGGAAGAGTAGGTACCTGAACTGGGCATTGGAAGAACAGAAGAGTTTCATCTGGCAGATATGTTAAAAAAAATTCATCCCCAGCATGGAAAAATGTGTGAATCTTGGACATGGTAGAGGACAGAAGGAAATCCAGGAAGAGCAAGTAGTCCAGTTTTACTAAAATGTAGAGCCTTGACTGTAAGGGAAAATAGAGGGAAATGAAATCCATTAATAAGAAGGAGTGATGACAATGTGAGTGAAGAGGAAGGCACACACATAAGAGATAGTGTAGAGGTAAAATTGACCGCTACAAAAGACTTATTTCTGTGTATCATTCAAGGAAAATTCTCAAAGATTATGCTGGAAGAATGAAAGTTCTGACAGGTCTAATTAAAACATGCTTTATTGTCCTATTATCAGCCTACCTAAGTTCAACTAACTTGGATGCAAGTGATTGATTTTTCAGCTACAGTAACTCTCAAAGACTGTCCACTAAATTATGTAAGGGTTACAATCCTTATCCGTGGAGAGAAGAAGATCCATACTGATGAAATTGCAGATCCTTGAAATGAAAAAAAAAAAAAATGTAGAAACTGGATATGGGAAAGTGAGAGGGAGTTAACAATTAGAGGTTTCAGTCCTAGATGATTAAGAAGTTGGTGGAACTATAGAACAAAAGAGGGAAGCTGGGAGGAGGAGGATAGGTGAGTTTAGTCTTGGACTTGTTGGGTTTGAGACCCTAGCAGAATGAGGTGCAAATGTCCAGTAATCAGAGATAGGGGATTGGAGTTAAAGGAAGCTATCAGGATATATAGACTTGGGAATCATAATGCATCAGAAGTGATTATTGAAACCATGGAAAAAAATGAATAACTGACAAAGATTGCAGAGAATAATTTTTAAAAAAAGGGTCAATAGCAGGTCCTTGGAGAAGCACCAACACTTAGGGAAAAAGAAAGAACCAGTGAAGGAGTGAGAAAAGACAGAAGAGGAATAAGAATCAGGAGAGTGGAGGCAAAGAAGCAAAAGAAGGGAAGAATATTTGGCCAGGGGATGGGTTGGGGAGGGGATCAGTGGTATAAGATGCTACAGAAAGGTTAGAGGAAGAAATTTGAGAAAAGGCAACTGACTCTATCCATCTCTCAGTACAGTTACCAGCATCCCTAGAAACAAAGTTAGGAGACAACTGTAAGACTATCAATCAAGCTTCTACAGGGGACCAAAAAAAAAAAAGTCACTTGCAAAACTAGCTGCAGTTTTTACCACAGACTGTGAGAAAAACTACGTATCTTTCACATGAGAATCAAGCTACTTGGAGCAAGAACAGGTGTATATTATTTGCATTCATGTGCATGTGTAAATAATGTGCCCGTGGTGGACACACAGAAGTGCAAAGTTTAGTACAGAGAGTACCTCAGCAACCTTCTCAGCCAACTCCTGCTTGAAAAAGAATCCCCGTAAAACCAACAAATTGTCCTCCAGCCTCTCAATACCTCCAGGGAAGAGGAGCCCACAATCTTCTGAGTCTTCCCATTCCTCTTTAGGATAATTCAGATTGTCAAGGAGTCTTTCCTGACATTCAGCCTAAATTTGCCTTTTTTTTTTTTAAACTTCTGCCACAACTTGCTCATAGTTCTGTTCTCTGAGACCAACAGGACAAATCTAATCTCTGTTCTGCTTTGTAGCTCTTCAGGACAACTATCATACCTTCTTCCCACCCCCCACTTACCCTCAGTCTTCTCCAAGTTCCTTTAATCCATCAGCATATGACATAGGCTCAAGGGCCTTCACTGCTGTTTGTTTACTTTCTATAAAAGTTTTCCACCTTATCACTGTCATTTCTAAACTGTGGTGTCGTGAATTAAACAATGTTCCAGATGTTGTCAGACCAAGGCAGAATACAAATGGACTCGGGATTACCTCCTTCCTGGATTCTCTGCCTCATTTAATTCTGTCCAAGACCCCATTAGCTTATTTCCCTGCTTTTTCACATTAATGTGTCATACTAACCTTACAGTCCACTAAAACCCCTATGTCTTCTTCAAACTACTACTAACAAGGTCATGTATCCTGTATTTGTGAAGTTAATTTTTGGAACCCAAGTGTAAGACTTCATAATTTCCTACCATTTTAACTAAAATATAATATTTTGACATAATGATTGAACTGACCCCACAAAGCATGCTGGATAAATTTTCATTTCAAGTTATAAGATGGGATTTCAGTTAACTAAGTTCACTATTGTTTATTTCATACTTCTAAAACATAAAAGTACAGAAAGTATTATCTTAGAGAACCAAGTAGTACGACTTAATTATTATCAGGTATTTCATAGGACTGAATTTTGTTTGTGTACCTTTCTTAAAATTGTGGGGGGGAAATGACCATCAGTTCATTGTTTTAGACCTTCAAATAAAAGTATGGTAGTGTAATGGAAAATAACACTGGTTCTAGAGTTAGAAGACGTGACCATGAATCCTGGTTCTGTTCTTTATCTTCGGCTTTACTATGCCAACCCTCACTTTCTACATATGTCAAATGGGGATAGTAATATCTGCCCTATCTTTCTCACAATTTTGTTTTGTTTTTAAGGAAATGTGCATTGTAAACTGTAAAGTTTAATGCCAGTATAAGTTATTATTCTAATCTAGATTCATATGGCAAAATGAAGCAGAATTATGCAATGAAAAAAAATTGGCGAGGAGTCAGGAGCCTGGGTGGGTTCTCATGTCCATTTAAATTTGATAATTTTCTCAACACTGGGATACTCTTTTCTGAGGATGTTTTGCCTTACTGGCTTTGGTACTATGTTGCTTTGTCATAAGAAGCTTGTTATGTATCTCTGTGTTCCATAAGCATATACATCTTCTCTCAGTCATGAAACTGTTGGAAGAGCTTTGTATGCTCCATAACCTTTGGAGAGGCAGATTATGGTATGCCAGGGAAC